GATGTGTCTATCTCTCCCTCCGTCCCTCTCCCTTCTCCTCTGAAATCAATAAAAACATATTTTAAAAACAACCAACATAACACAGCTCTAGACTCAGAAAAAAGTGATCGCCTTGGGGTGGGGGTGGGGGTAGGGGCTGGGAGGAGGGGAGGAATGGGGGGAGGAAAATGGGAGACATCTGTAATACTATCAGCTATAAAATAATATTTAAAAAGGAAAAGATAAAAGAAGTCATTAAAAACTTGGTTCCCCGCTTTTCCATGCAGTTAGCTTGCAGGGTGAGGTTGCTATTTTTATCAGCTGTCTTCAACCCAGCTGTTGCTTCATGTTAACATGGCGAATGGTGTGAAAATCCCAGCAGAGGCGCGTGAATCCCAGAGGGATCTGTCTCCTGCCGTTTCTAGAACAGATAAAATGTCATGCGCTGCAGTGGGGGTGGGTCAGGGACGTTGCACCAGTGAAGGCAATGTGACTATTTCTGACATTTATTTTTTTTTAAATATATTTTTATTGATGTCAGAGAGGAAGGGAGAAGGAGAGAGAGAAACATCCATGATGAGAGAGAATCATAGATTGGCTGCCTCCTGCACGCCCCCTACCGGGGATCCTGGGCATGTGCCCTGACCTGGAATCAAACCGTGACCTCCTGGTTCATAGGTGGATGCTCAACCACTGAGCCACACCGGCCAGGCTATTTCTGACGTTCAAATGATATGGAGCCGAGGGCCAAACTTCCTTTCCATCAGCCCCAACCAAAGAGCCTGCCCTGGGAGAAACCAGAAGCAGGAGTCCTCGCGTTTCAGGGGCACCTGGCTGTCCCAGGTGCTGGCCGTTGTGGCGCCCTGAGGTTGGGACAGCTGCGTAGCCTGCAGCCCGGAGGTGGCCCCCGAGAACCCACTTCCTTTTTCTGACTTAGAATGTGACTTGTAATTTCAAACCCACTCTTTGGATTTCCTCTGTGTAAATAACAGCATTTTGGCGAGACTGTGCAATGGGGGCGGGGGGCGGGGAGTGCCACATAAAACTTAGACCATTTAAAAATACAACTCTAATTGCAGGTTGGTTTGCCCAGGGTTTGGCAAATTAGGCGGGCAAATTGGAGGGGCAGTCGGAACTTGCCCCAGGCACAGAAACACGACTTTGTTACCCATCCGACGGTGCAGTCCACGAACTCTTTCAGAGCTTCCTTCTAGAACAGCGGTTCTCAACCTGTGGGTCGCGACCCCTTTGGCGACCGAACGACCCTTTCACAGGGGTCGCCTAAGACCATCCTGCATATCAGATATTGACATGACGATTCATCACAGTAGCAACATGACAGTGATGAAGTAGCCACGAAAATAATTTTATGGTTGGGTCACCACATGAGGAACTGTATTTAAAGGGCCAGAAGGTTGAGAACCACTGGTATATACAAAGCCCAGCCCGGTATCTAGCATGTAGGAGGGTCTGTGATGCCTGTTGGATGGGGGAGATAATAAATAAATCATCAAGGATATTTATTGAGAATTTAGTGGAGTGCCTGGCACATAGTAGATGGCGTTCACAAGGGGAGGCTTTGGAAATATGGTGGTGGGGTCATCAGTCTAATGGGAAGACATTACCAGCATTTAGAGGGCAAGGCCAAGGACAAGGGCACTAGACAAGGGCTGGGGGGGGGCGGGGGGGCAACCCTGCAAGGCAATGAGTTGCCCCACCGCCCACACAACTTCAAAAGATCCTGCCAGACATTGCTGTTAGGAGGAATCTGCGATGATCTGCATTCATAACACTGTGTTTTACATCTAATCAGAAAGAACTATTTGCACATCTCAGTGGGCACTGAATTTTCCAGGAATGCAATTAGCACACACACTTAGAAAACACTCCGTTGCATTTCGTTTGCAACAACTCCATGGGGAATGGTTCCCCTTTGCAACAACTCCATTAGCAACGCTGCTCAGGGTATTTGAACCCTCAACAGAACACGCTCAGATCAGGCCATGTATGAGAGTGTGATGGTATGTGTTGATGCAAAAAACCCAAAAACAACAAACCACACGCTGATTTGTTCATGTATTATAATTTCATTTCTTCTTTTTTTTAAAAAAAAATATTTTTATTGATCTCAGATAGGAAGAAAGAGGGATAGAGATAGCAACATCAATGATGAGAGAGAACCATGGATTGGCTGCCTCCTGCACAACCCTACTGGGGAGGGAGCCTGCAACCCGGGCCTGTGCCCTGACCGGGAATCGAACCGTGACCTCCTGGTTCATGGGTCGATGCTCAACCACTGAGCCACGCCAGCCAGGCTCTTCTTTCTTCTTTATGTTATATTTAAAGCATACTAACTTTTTTGAAATTATGTTTATAGGTAGGTTATCTATGCATTTTTTACAAGATCGTAAAAAACCAAAATGTTTGTTTTAAAGGAAGGCAGTACTTGTAATAGGGATTAGAATCACTGTATTAGATGCTCTTTTTCTTTTAATAATAATAATAACAATAATAACAACAATACTAACTCCAGGGAAAAATTCCCACCTGGGGAAACAACCTTCCTTGAGAGGTGACCCTGGTTAAAACACATAGCGCTAAGAAGGGGAGCAAACATATTAAGAACAGTATGCCATATATGCTGGGTCCCTTGAAACATATGCTGTGCAGATGTTTCTTCCCTGCAGCGACTGTGTCAAGCAGCAAGGATGGACCGGCTTCCGGCAGATGAAGTTGTCTTGTCTAACAGGAAAGGCCCTCTCAGAGTAGGACCTACAGCTGCTGGTACCTGTCCTTCTGCATTCGCTTCATACTCTCTACAACATCCAGGCTTTGCTTCTGAAAACAACTGTCTGAAAGATGCATCTAAAACATCAATGCTGTTTTGCTGGTGTGGCTCAGTGCTTGAGCGACCAGGTCAGGGTATATGACCACGTTGCGGACTCGATCCCCAGTGTGGGGCTTGCAGGAGGCAGCAATTCCTTGATTCTCTTTCTTCATTGATGTTTCTATGCCTCTCTGCCTCTCCCTTTCTCTCTAAAATAAAAATAAAATAAATAAAACATAAATGCTATCACAGCAGAGAGATGCTCAACAATATCTAAGATTCATTTAATAAGTTTATTGAGTTTTTGGTGAGTGCCAGCCATTTCTTAAAGTGATCCTCTGATCCACAGGTGGGGAATGTCCTGCCTGAGGTCCATATAAGTCCCTCCAAATCATTTGGTCTGGCCCTCCCAAAGCATAGGGGTCATTTAAAGGTTTGACCAAATTGCAGCAGCCTAATTGTCAATAATTTCATTTCATTTTGTATGGCCCTCAAATGATGTTATAAATATCCAAATGGCCCTTGGCAGAAAAAGTTCCTCACCCCTGTAATGTAATGTATTAACACTTCAATATAGCCCCTGGAGTAGACCCACAGGGAACACTCCCTAAAAATCCAATTACTTCCCCTTTCTACCACTTAAAAGAAATCACAAATTATCCAATACTTGGGTACATTTATCAAATTATAAAAATGTCATCAATCTCATGTGTAAAAAATGATTCTTGTGAACACAATTGCTTTCTTCCCATTGGTAATTAGAGTAGCATCTTTTCCTGTTTCTTTGCTCTTTAATTTTCTTTGCCATAAATAAGCTCTTCCTAAAATTGTTCATATTTCTATTGCATAATCCATTAATTTTATTATCTGTAAGTATAGATTTTTCGTTGCATTCTAAAAACAAATTACTGACTAAAATGACAGATATTACATGCGTATAGTAAATCCTCTTCTTGTTCTGTAATATAGCAGAAACACTCTCCGTACTAGCAAGTACTAAACATTATTGTTGGCCAAAAGACAGAGCTAGTCACCTTCCAGCCTCTGGTCACAGCTTGCCCAGCCATCAGTTAGTACATCATCTTGTTTTATGTGTGTTTCTATTTAAAGACATCTTAGTTGTGACTGGCTTCTTTCACTTAGCATAACATGTTCAAGTTTTATGTGTGGTATATTCTACTGTATGGGTACACCACATTTTGTTTACCCATTCATCAGTTGATGAGTATTTGGGTTGTTTCCGGTTTGAGGCTCTTATGAATAACGCCGCTATGAACATTGTGTACAAGTTTTTTTTGTGTGTGAACATGTTTCCATTTCTTTTGGGTATGTACCTAGAAGTGGAACTTCTGGGCCATCTGGTGAGCCTCGTTTTCCAAGGTGGCCCCGCTATTTTACATTTCCACCAGCAATGTTCGACGGGTCCAATTTTTAAACATTCTCATGAATGTTTTTTATTTTATTATTTTTTTTAATCTTTAATTTCTTTATTGATTAAGGTATTACAAATGTGTCCTCATCCCCCCATTAACCCCCAACCCCCCCGCCCCCCACTCATGTTCTCATCCCCCTGTTGTCCATGTCCATTGGTTTGGCTTATATGCGTGCATACAAGTCCTTTGATTGATCTCTTCCCCTTACCCCCACCCTCCCCTACTTTCCCTCTGGGGATTGATAGTCTGATTGCTGTTTCTCTGTCTTTGGATCTGTCCCTGTTCATCAGTCTATGTTGTTCTCTATAACCCACAAATGAGTGAGATCATGTGGTATTTACCTTTCTCTGACTGGCTAATTTCACTCAGCATAATGCTCTCCAGTTCCATCCATGCTGTTGCAAATGGCAAGAGTTCCTTCTTTTTTACCGCAGCGTAGTATTCCATTGTGTAGATGTACCACAGTTGTTTTTACTGCGTTTCTGTGAAATGTCCGTCCCCCCCCCCCCCCCCATAGGCATATCCCTGGAAGCATTTCCCTACAGAAAGCAGATTAGTGACTGCCTGGGGCTAGGGCGGGAGGACAGGGAGGGGCACTGGGAAAGGGAGGCGCCTGTTAATGGGTTTAAAGTCCTACCAATGGCTCCTCTCTGAGGGGGCGTGGCCAGGCCCTGGGGGCGTGGCCTAGGGCGGGACCAGCCAGTATAAAACCCTGCGGAGGGGCTGCGGCCCGCACTGTGGTGGCTGTTACGCGGAGAGGCATGGAGCAGTGCGCTTGCCTCTGTGGCGGGGGCTCTTCCCGGGGACGTCGGTGTCGTCAGAAGCGCCAGCGCCCAGCTGAGATGGCAGCAGCCAACGCCAAGCGGTGTCGTCAGGAGCACCAGGGCCCAGCTGAGATGGCAGCAGCCCACAGCAAGCCGGCCCCGGCCCCGGCAGAAAGGCACGTCGAGGCGGACGTGGCAGCGCGGTGCTGCTCGCTGCAGGACCTGCCGGTGGAGCTGCTGGTGGAGATCTTCGCCTCGCTCCCCGGCACCGACCTGCCCAGCCTGGCCCTGGCCTGCACCAAATTCCACCGCATCCTGCAGATCGACAGCATCTGGAGACGGCGCTGCCGGGAGGAGTTTGGCGTTCGTCAAACCTTGCAGAACCTGGAGACGATCCGTGGTATGTCTTATCGAGAAGTCTATACGAAGCTGTTCCACCCATACAGACACCTTTTGGGTTTGTGGCAGCTGGATCGTGGCTATAGAAGACTGCTGAACGTCGTGGTGGACGGCTTAGGCATCACTGGTTGGACGTGCAGGCCTTCCCTTAACCCCCAGGGGGACGGCCCAATGCAATTCGAGCCCGCGTTCAGAATTCGCCTGACCCAGAGGAAATCGGCCGCGGTGGAGTGCATGGAAGGCCGCCACCTGCAGATTCAGAAGGACAGGCTCAGCATCAAGCCGGACCACCGGAAGGACTCACCAACGCGGCGCTGGGACGAATGGGGGCGGGTGCTGGTGCAGGAGGTCAGACAGCCCAGCGACTGCCTGACCTACCGCCGCCTCTACCTCCCGCCCAGCCGCCCGGACGACCTCATCAGGCCCGGCCTCTTCCAAGGCAGCTACGATGCCTACGGCCGAACGATCGTCATGCTCAGCCTCCATGGGCAGCGTGCCCGGGTCACGAAGATCACGGGAGACTCCACCTGGACGCTAGCGATCCACCTCAGGCACCGCATCCAGCTGCGAGATGGCGAGTTCTTCCGCAACTTCTACGAGCTCTCCCGCGTGGTCCAGGAGATTGACCAGCAGGTGATCCGGGAGGAGCAGCAGCAAGAAGACGGGACTGGGGAAAGCCAGGGCCATGGCTGGCAGAGCCCTGCCCAGCCCAGCGGCGGGGAGTCCGGGGCTGCAGCTTCGGAGGAGCAGCCGGTCCCGTTTGTTCTGCCTCCGGGCGTGCGCTCAAGGGACCAGAACTACCCCGGAACCTGCAGGATGTGTTTCTATGGCGTGGACACTTTTACTGTTACCTTACCTGGCTTCACCTCCCCCAGGCGCTTCCCTGGAGTCTTCATCGTGTTCGATGAGAACCACTTCGGGTTCATCTCTCTGGCGATGAAATATTTCATCCTGTTCTGCAGAGTCCAGAACACCTTCCAGAATGTGGAGGCACCATCCCCGCAGGCCTTCCTGGAGATGCTCCAGGACATTCAGTCCGGACCCCCTGGGAAGAGCAGCTGGTATGCACTTTGAAGATCTGACCTGCTGACCAGGCTACCCACCTTTGGTTGTTTTTTTAATCCTCACCCGAGGATATTTTCCCATTGATGTTTAGAGAGAGTGGGGGGGAGAGGGAAGGACAGAAATTATCGATGTGAGAGAAACACATCAGTTGTTTGCCTCATGCCCAAGCCCCGAACAGGGCCAGACGGAGTAGGAGCCAGCAATTGAGGTAGAAATAAACCTTAGACCAGTGGTCTCAACCTTCCTAATGCTTCGACTCTTTAATACAGTTCCTCATGTTGTGGTGACCCCCAATTTCATTGTTACAAATTGAACATAATTAAAGCATAGTGATTAATCACACACACACACACAAAATAAAGACATCTTAGTTAATAGTAATAAAAATAATAACAACAATAAAAAGTTAGAGCTTTGTCTTAGGTGAATGGCATAAGAAATACGATATTTCTTTGAAGAAATAATGACAGAAAACTTCCCCTACCTGGTGAAAGAAATAGACTTACAAGTCCAGGAAGCGCAGAGAACCCCAAACAAAAGGAATCCAAAGAGGACCACACCAAGACACATCACCATTAAAATGCCAAGAGCAAAAGACAAAGAGAATCTTAAAAGCAGCAAGAGAAAGAAACTCAGTTACCTACAAGGGAGTACCCATACGACTGTCAGCTGATTTCTCAACAGAAACCATGCAGGCCGGAAGGGAGTGGCAAGAAATATTCAAAGTGATGAATAGCAAGAACCTACAACCAAGATTACTTTATCCAGCAAAGCTATCATTCAGAATTGAAGGTCAGATAAAGAGCTTCACAGATAAGAAAAAGCTAAAGGAGTTCATCACCACCAAACCAGCATTATATGAAATGCTGAAAGGTATTCTTTAAGAAGAGGAAGAAGAAAAGGGTAAAGATAAAAATTATGAACAGCAAATACATACCTATCAACAAGTGAATCTAAAAATCAAGTGAATAAAAAATCTGATGAACAGAGCAAACTGGTGAATATAATAGAACCAGGGGCATGGAAAGGGAGTGGACTGACAATTCTTCTGGGGAAAGGGGTGTGGGGGTGCAGGAAGAGACTGGACAAAAATCGTACACCTATGGATGAGGACAGTGGGAGGGGTAAGGGCAGAGGGTGGGGTGGGAACTGGGTGGAGGAGAGCTATGGGGGGGAAAAGAGGAACAACTGTAATAATCTGAACAATAAAGATTTAATTTAAAAAAAGAAATAAGATATTTCTTATTTTCATTCTGAGGTCTCACTGTCTTATTCATATTACCAAAATGATCCTTCACACACACCAGAGAAACTTTTTTTATTTGTTTATTTTAAAATATTTATTTATTAAATTGCGGTGACATTGGTCCACATGAACATACAGGTTTCAGGTGTGGGTTTCTGTGTCACAAGACCTGTATATGGCATCGTGTGCCCACCACCCAAAGTCAGATCTTCTCCTGTCACCTGACAGTGGGACCCCTTCTCGCCCCACCCTCTCAGAGATACTCTTAATCCTTTGCCCTCAAAGTCCTGGTGCCTGAGAGAAAAGTGTGCATTGCAGGACTCTGAGTTGTAGCTAACTAGAGAGAACAGAGAATCAGGGAATTTTAGGTCCATAAATAATCTTAGGGAAAAAAAATGTTTTTCATTCTCTTTTACTTTCAGACAGCCAGATTTTTGCTGTACCATGCCATCTGGCTAAGAACTCGTTGTAATAACTTTTTAAAAATGATAAAAGTAGCATATATATTTATTTTTTAAAAAATTGGTAATTATGATAAAGAACAAAGAACCAGAAAAGACTCACAATCCTCTACCTGTTTTATTCCATTTATGGGATTCACAGCCATTTAGTTAACCATAGATCTATATTTATGCATTACCAGATTGCTGCTTTTTCTTTTCTTTCTTCCTCTCTCTTTTTCTTTCTCTTTCCTCTTCCTCCTCCTCCTCCTCCTTCCTCTTTGCTGCTTAAATGATGCTGCCAGAAACATCTTTGCTTCCAAATTCTGTTACATATAATATTACCCCCCCCTCGACCCCTTCGTCTACTTTTCTAGAAATAGCCTTTGGACTCAGAGGATCTGGCTGTTTCTGCGGCTCTCGATCCATCCTGCAATGATTGTCCATGGCTGCCTGAGTCACGAGGTAAAATATTGATGAGGAACTTTATGAAAGATGAATCAGGCAGAAGATACCTAAGTGTATCGATCAGTCTCCACACTGCTCACGCTGTGACAGCCAAACACTATGGTGCCCCTTCACTGGATGCAGTAGAAGCGACACAGCCCCAGCTCTGAGAGATTCTTGCCAAAGTGGAAAAACGAACACAACACAACCAAACAAAACCAACGCAGACCTATCACGCTTTCAGCTCTCATCTCCGTTCACAGGACATACAAGGGGCGGAGGAAGAGGTTCCACAATGCCATGAGCAAGTCATCAAATACGGGACCTGGGCCAAAACCGGTTTGGAGAGCGTCGGCCTTCGGACTGAAAGGTCCCAGGTTCGATTCCGGTCAAGGGCATGTACCTTGGTTGCGGGCACATCCCCAGTGGGGAGTGTGCAGGAGGCAGCTGATCGATGTTTCTCTCTCATCGATGTTTCTAGCTCTCTATCTCTCTCCCTTCCTCTCTGTAAAAAATCAATAAAATATATTAAAAAAAAAAATACGGGGCCTGGGAGAGTCCACTCCACAACTAATTCAGTCCTTTCAACACGTGGCATCACACACCAGAATATGGGTTAAAAGAAATGTGCCCGGCCAGTGTGGCCCAGTGGTTGAGTGTCAAGCCAGGAACCAAGAGGTCACAGTTCGATTCCCGGTCACGGCACAGGCCCGGGGTGCGGGCTCGGTCCCCAGTGTGGGGCGTGCAGGAGGCAGCCGATCCATGATGCTCTCTCATCATGGATGTTTCTCTCTCTCTCTCTCTCTAAAATCAATTACAAAAATATTTTAAAAAGTAAAAAGCAATGTAGAGGCATAACTAGGTTTGATCTAGGGACCCTGCCTGGGAAGCTAGAAGGGAGGCCGGAACAGATTTAACCAAAACAGCAGCTCCGGGTTCTTTACTTGCCCACAGTGGGAGCTCGATGCTGAGGGACCTACCAGCCGACCCCACGGGCGTGGCTTGTGCCTCCTCCGTCAGCAGGTGGTAGTCTGCATCGTCTTAATTTAATACTCCATCCTGCCCCCAGCCCCCCCAAACACACTGATCTTAAGTGTAAGAATCCAGTCTTCACAATTCAATATATTAGCTGTCGAGTTTCCGTAAGTGCTCTTTATCAGGTGAAAACATTTTCCTTCTAGTTTCCTGGGAGTTTGCATCACAAATGGATGTGGAATATTTTATCAAATGCCTTTCCTATTGAAAAGATTGTATGAGTATTGTGGGTTTTTTTTCTCTCTCTCTCAATCTGTACACATGGAGAATTCCATTGGTTGATGTTCAAATGTTAAATGAAAGTTGTATTCCTGGGATAAACACCACTTGGCTATGATGTGTTACGTGTTTTATTTTTTTATCCTCACCTGAGGAGAGGGGATATTTTTTCATTGATTTTTAGAGAGAGTGGAAGGGAGAGGGGAGGCAGAGAGAGAGGAGAGAGGAAGCATTGATGTGAGAGAAACACATCAATTGGTTGCCTCCCACATGTACCCAACAGGGCCTGGGGATCGGACCTGCCACCCAGGTACGTGCCCTTGACCGGGAATCGAACCTGTAACCCTCTGGTTCGCAGGCCGGTGCTCTAACCACTACACGATGCCAGCCAGTGCCCCATCCTGAGCCTCAAGTCCCATCACTCACAACTGACCCATTTATTTTCGCCTCCGGTCCCTTGGCCAGGCCACACACCCTGGGATTTGCGAACACACGGCTCTGTTCCTAGCCAGTGCGTCCCGACCAGCAAGTCACTGTAATTTTTGGTCGCGTTCCCATCCTCCCTCCCAGTGTCATTAGTCACATCCTCCTTCCCCTTTCTGCCTTGAATAGGCTGTCATTATGAGGAGGCCAGGCTGGTGTCAGGATTGCATGAGAACCGCAGCGTCAGGCCGTCACCGCGCTGGAGCCGGGGATGGAAAAGGCTGGGATCCGGGGCTGGCTGGCACCATCCAGTGAGTCATCATGGAAACGGTGCCCCGGATGCTGCCGAGAGGCCCTGGGCGGCTGGTGAGTCCATCCGTCAGATGTGTCATACGAGATCCTGACCCCCTGACATCCTCCTGCGTTCCAGAACGTGTGGGATGCGCGGCCTTCCGTCTGGTCTCCTGGTGACAATAAGATTTGGGTTGTTTTGTTCTATTTTGGGTTCCCTTGCCGTTTCCAGTGTGTTAAAAGAAAAACACACAAAATACCTTTTTTCAGATTACAAAGAGAATCCGTATTCATTGTACGGAAATTGAAAAAGACAGGGAAACGCACCGAAGAAAATCCCACCACCAGAGATATATAGAGTTGCATAGATATATCTCTGATGGTGGAATAATATATATATATATATATATATATATATATATATATATATATTATTGATTTCAGAGAGGGAGGGAGGAAGAGAGAGAGAGAGAAACATCAATGATGAGAATCATTGATCAGCTGCCGCCCGCTGGGGATCAAACCCACAACCCGGGTATGTGCCCTAACCAGGAATCGAACCTGGATTGTCCTGGTTCATAGGCTGACGCTCAACCACTGAGCCACACCGGCCGGGCTGGAATTTTTTTTTTAACGAATTGCATTTGCCTTAAGATGTTTTCTGGATTATAGTGTGTATAATACTTTTCCAAGTTGTTTTTTTAAAACTCTAACAGTGTAGCTCACACAGTCCTCGTTTTTTTAAAGCATCAGATTCTATCATGTTTGCCCTGAAGGAGAACTTACATAAGATACCCTAGTTAAACACGTTCTGTCTAAAAACGAGAAAAAACCAATCCCAAGAGGGTCTTTGGCCCCAGGCTCCCAGCTCCAAGCCCCGGAGTCAGGAATGGAGCCCTGGGTTTTGG